AGGTTTCTTCATCTTCATTGAAATTGGGAAAATAATGAAATAATTGATAGTCTAAATTATTCAATTGACTTTGAATTAAATAATTGATAATATGGAATTGTCAATCTTGCGAACTCAATTATTGATTGATAAAATAATTTGGAATTTGCATGTTCAATTGATGATATAATAAATTCAGTAGTGAAGCGGTAAACCGATTTGAGTCGTTTTTAACTATTGGTCAGTTTTTAATAAATATCTCGCAATATAGGGCAGATAGCAAAATTTTCATCAAAATATTTTTTGTAGAGCGAACTGAGAGCTGTGAAAAAGTTGATTACGAAAATTTCGGTATCTCCCTTAGATTCGGAGATATACCTCAAAAACTCAGTTTGAAGAACACGTTAAATCGACTTTAACAGATTTACCGCTTTGCTACTGAATTTAATAACTAAAAAATTGCTGAGTAATCTTAATCAATTGACTAATTCAAAATTCAACTTTATTTAAAATTCATGATCATGCCGATGTCTGCTTGAAAGGTTGCAAATTACGTCATTGCAGAGATGAAGACATTTAATTCTGAACTGAAAGAAGAAGACTTATTTGGTCACAATAGCTGCTGGCGCATAATAGTTATCGATTCTACGCAATAAAAAGCCCTTCATCGGTATCTGGAAAGCTGTTGAGGAATAATTAGCTACCTTCTTCAATTTTTTAGAAGGAAAGTTTTGTGTTTCTTATTAATGAAGAAAAATTTATTGAAATGTAGAACTCTGTTCCTTGAAATAAAATGATTCTTCTCAAATATAGAACGATTCTCTCCGCTGTTCTCAAACAGTCAGTGATTTTTTTTCGTTCAATAGTTTCCGAGATATCAAACAAATCGATTCGATCAAATTGCAAGTTTTCGGGCTTATCATGAGACCTATTCATGGTCTTTTTGTTTAATCCCGCATGAATTGTCCTAGACTTTCTAATAACGCCATTCGGAACCTTTCATGTCATTATTTCCCCCAAATCAATAAGTATAACAGTGTTCTTGATAAGAGGAATATTGTGTTTGTAAATGAAGAAAAATTCCTTAGACTTTTAATACTTCTTCACTGGGAAAAAAAATTACTTTTGCCAAGGAATCATTTTCTTGGGAGAAGAATTTATTTTTTTAGGAGCTTATTTCTCTAGGCCAGTCATTCCCAGGTGGCCCATGTCCATCTTCAAACATTACAATTATGTTGAATAATGAGATGATTATGCTACATATGACCTTGAATGAACACGCTTTATTATTTTTCAATTTTTTCAAATTTGAGATTTTTTAACGTATAATAATTTGAAATAATTTCAAAGGTTAATAATTGCCAATGGAGTTCATTCAAGGTCATATGTAATATAATCATTCCATAATTCAACATAATTGTAATATTTAGAGATGGACTTGGACTCCTTGATAATGACTGACCTGGAGAAATACACTCCTAAAAAAATAAATTCTTCTCCCAAGAAAATGATTCCTCGGCAAAAGTAATTTTCGGTTCTCAGTGGTGGATTAAACATAATAACATATAACATATAACAAAGACAGAAATTTCCCAAAATTTTATTATTGAAAATTACCGAATTGATAAAAAAACAGAAACTGTAAATTCCATCAAATTTTCAGTAGTAATACTCCGAGATCTTCAAAAGTATCGCATATTTCCGGAAAGCTTCGTTGCAAACAAATGAAGATGTCAATTGACGATTGGATAAATAATTCGAAAATTCATAAACGAATTTCAGATTAACCAAATAATCGTCAATCTTGCGAACTCAGTTTTCGTAGTTTGGAGAGAAATTTGACGGAAATTTTGGATTAATTGTAGAAATCGAGTGGTAACCGACGTCGGTGGCCGAAGCGGCTAGGTGTGAGCCTAGTGTGGAAAAGGTTGTGAGTTCGATTCCCCGTGGAACCGAGTTTTTCAACCGGAGGCTCCGGCGAGCGGAAGGTCGCTAATATAGTGACCGCCTGTACCGGCATGGGTTTTCTGTGGTTTCCCATGCTACTCCTATGTTCTATAGGAGTGCGAATGCGGTGCAGTGTAGAATCCACAGCCGCATGCATAGGGTTGGATAGGGCCGATTAGCCAATCAGAGGGCAGAAAGGGCCGAAATATTGAAAAAAAAAAAAAAGTCGAGTGGTATTCGGAGAATAATTTCTGGATTACGGATCTGGCTAAGCAGAGGGCAGTATTACAATATTTTACCGTTATTTGATTAAGGCCCGGTTGCACCAGCTCCGGGTAACGAAAACGTCTGATAAGAAAAAGAGTAAATTTGGATGTTCGATGGATTATTTTACCCGGGAGAGTATCTGAAATTTATCCCAGGGACAAAAAATAAAATTGAATCTGAAGGTTGAAGCAGTGTTAATTCAAATGGGGCTACATGATAAATAAAAAATTATTCTTCGCGTCAAATATTGAAAAATGATGACCCCTAAAGGAAATATGCACGGAAAATTATCAAAAACTAGGAGGAAATCACCACTTATATCCCAAGTTGGGTGTAGTTCACAGCATCGAATACTATACTGAGAAAACAATTTCTAATATCTGAAACGTATTCACTTGAGACAAGTAACTCGTCTTCAATCACTTAATTCTCCCATGCATCTTAACTCACTTGGCTCGAGAAAGGTCTCATGCTTTAAAATATTCCTGTACTCAAGTTTGATTTTAATGCGTTGAAGAATCGTTAATTTTCCAATATTTATTGTTTTTATGGTTTGTTATGCACTTCCAATATTGTGATATGTAATATATTCGTGATGTAACGCGGAAAGATAGTGATAAATGAGAATTTATTCGAGTTCCATGAAGCGCAACCATTCTGAAATTTAAGCCATTGAAAATAATTTCCTTCTATCAAGTAAATACGGTCTACACATTAGGAAATTTTTCTCTCAGTGTACTCTCTGATTGGCCAGAATCCGATGACCAGAAATTATCACTGTGATTGAAAATTTTATAATTTTTCTCGCTAAATTGAAGTCAATCGCATTCTCTCGGCAAAATCACTAGTAAACTGTTTATGAAATGTCAATTTTCTTCCAATACTGAATGTGATTCCGGATGAAAAAATTTCATAGAAATACAGCGAATTTGCTAGCCAATTCTATTGGATTTCTATTAAATTTTCTATTAGTTTTTGCCAGGTTTTCCATTGAAATGTTCAATAGAAAATAATTTACAGGAAAAGTTAACAGAAGTGGATTTTTCTATACAGCTTACTATATTGAGATATTTTCTATAGAATCACCTCGGCTCAAATTTCTAGATTTTTTGTTTGATATTCTCCATGAAAAGAAAAGAAAAATCGAACGAAGAAAACTTGGAAAAATATCTCGATAGAATAAGGTATGCAAAAATCGAATTCTATTGACCTTTTCTATCAAATAATTTCCGATCGAACATTTCAATAGAATTGGTCAAAAGCTAATAGAAAACTTTCTATTCTGCACTGAGAGAAAAATATAATTCTTCTGACTAGCTTCCATCACCATCGAATTATAGTCAAAAAGTCCTCAACAATTTTTCATGGGTTACGGTAACTATGGCCGAAGTAATTACTACAATGGAATGTAGTCATTGCAACTATTTTATAGTTCTCCTCACGATAGATTTGTCATGGTTACTTTTGAACTTTGTTTAGTTTAACTGCATTTTGATTTGCAAAAATTACGCTTGTGAAGTTACTATAATGTTATGTGCCGCATAAAAAAAAAATCGTATCGTTCACCAAAATGCCTCAACTATTTTCTTATTGTAAATCGAACTTCAGATTTTTCTCTCAGTGTGTTTTCTATTCTATTCTACTCTTTCTAAATGGCAATCCAATAGAATTGTCTAGCGACTTTGCTAGATTTTTCCATTAAATTTTTTCCTGCGTGATTCTCAAGAACGAAAAAAAATCATTATCGAATGTTTCCTCCCCGGAGTAACCACTCCCTCCCTTTTGCATCAAAGATAACGAAATTCAACCCCCAATAATCAAAGTGACCCCGCTGGAACTTAATAAAATGGTAAACGGGTGGAAAACAAGCAATTTGGCGGGGCATCACCCAAGGGTGCGTCCCATCGGGAGGGGAACCAAATGACAAATCTGATAAAATCATCTGCAACCCTCGAGCACCAACATCGCTATGTTTCAGGGGTGTTATCCCGCTGACATCCTGCGGCTCGCATCATCCAGGACATCTTGTGTCCTCACGCAGCCTAAATACCCCCAATCACCCATTCTCCCCCGAAAGCGGTAAGTAACGAAAGTAAGAGAAGAGGGTGGTAGCCACGGTTGTTATTAAATGAGACAGCCTAATAGGGCCATTACCAGTACTCTCAGCCCCCCCTGGTCCACTCCACTATAATATAATCCTTACCGCACGCGCCATCCCCGCATCGCTGTCCCTGCACGCCCCCTCTTCAACCTTTTCTTCTCTTCATCGAGTAACTAATGCAGTCCATACAAGTTTGGATAGGTATATCGAGATACATCTTGCACACGCGCCCACGTACGAGATCACACGAAAGATAATGCGGCATATTGGGTTAAACTTAATGACGGTAGACTCCTTTTTGCGGGCGGAAAAAGGCCTGATGGGTCATTGTGTTGAAAGCTTTTTGGCTGACGCCGGAATTTTGGTTGGTTAAGCATGTTTGGAAATATTTGTGGATTTTGGGGATTAGAATGAATACGTGGGACTATTCAGAGTGTTTCAAACATTCTTTCAACAGCACCAGCAGCTTCTTCTGATTGCACTATTAATTCAATGTTCTTGTTCATCTTAATGAGAGTTTTAGAATAGAAATTGAAGCATTGCCAAAAATGTGCACATGATGCTCTGAATGTTTGACCACACGTCTTCAAATCCTGAGATAGATTTTCGTCAATTGTTGACACAAAAACGAGGGCCTTGCTAATGAGATAACAACCAATTTCTAATTGACAGAGAAAACCCAAATGAACAGCACCACCAATCTTACCTAGCTAACAACGCCTGATGTCCCATCAACGAATTAACAGGATCTCCAGCCTGTGCAAAACCAGCTGGAGGACTAGTAGCACTCGTTGCCCAAGGAATTGCACCGGGATTACCCCTCGTCTCATTACCCCGACTAATAGGTGACCTCTGTCCCCCCGGAAGTATCAACGAAGTAGGCGATATCATTCTGCTCTCCGACGGCGACGAACTATGCGACATACCAAGTCTCTGCGACGTTGTCGCTGCTGGTGGTGATGCCCTGTCACCATCGGACTGTCGTTCAATCGACACAGCGGCAGTCGCATCGGCTGTCGGTGATTCCGGTCTACCCAGTATACTCGATATACTGAATGACGTGTACTGGGGATTGCAGGCTGGTCTCAGCGCAGCTTTTCCAACGTCAAAACTGAACGGATGGCTGCCAATACCACATCCAGCTTTACCATTACTCCTCTCCTGCAGCAACATGTCCGCCGGTGTTGAGCTACTTCTTGATCCTTCGAGATCCTCAGCTGATACCACCTCAATATCAGTCTCAGCCGACATGTCCTCCTCCTCAGTGACGTTAATCACCACCCGCTCCTCCGTCGGGTGGTGGTCAATCTCCTTGTCCTTCACTTCCACGACCCTCCCGGCTCCCGCCGTCGGGAACAACACGCGTCGAACAATCTTCGTTTCTTTTATTAACACACAACCAGTGAAAACAAAAATCGTCAGTTGTCCTTTGACCACAGTTTAATCAACGCTAATCACCCTCACCCTCTCAACATCTGTCGGACATTTCATCCAAAACACCAGCAACTCAAACACTTCTCCCTCGACAAATCAACCAACAGTCTCATCGCCACCTTCTCACTATTGTTACTCAAACCCCGATGAAAGAAAACTGACTTTCCAGGTAAACAGTTTGATGCTGTAAAAACAAGGATGCTAAAGGTGGTGGTGGGTCGCCAATTGAAGTGGCCGATCGCTCGATCGCGGTTCATTCGTAAACGATACTCGGAACAAGAAGATGATAGGAGACAAGACACTTGAGGTGGGCCAACCCCTACGCTGGGTACACACACACTATCCCCACTACTATTCCCATCGCTCGTTGGTGGTTGTATCTCCACCCCTCTCTCCCAGCTTTTGCCTCTGTATCGCGTGTTTCCTGCTACTGTTGGCGAACTATTCACCAACAAAACCCCACCACGAGCTACTTCACGTACACCAAATGGCCTCGGTGATGATGTGAGCGTGTAAACGATTCCGTTTTCACTATTTCGTGTCACTTTGTACTTATTGGCTATCAGTGCGCACACAAGATTACCGCTTCCCCCACTCGATGATCACATCTTAGTATCCATTTACGATTAATTGCCAATGTGATTTATCGATACTACCACTGATGGTTAATTTTTTAAATTAGGAGTTTCGATTAAAAAATCCATCGATGGCGGCTCCATTAACCCCGAAATAACCGCAATCTGCAATAAACCACGATGGCGCTGTGCGCATCAGCCCCACGAGGTTGTCCAAACTCTCTCACAACGAGAGCATCCCTCCCTCATCACTGTTCCCCCAAAAGTGACAGTTGAAAACACCTCAAAATCTCATTCGCTCCATCGTCAGAGCCTCGGTGAGGTATAAGTGCCAGCAACTATCGTGTTGATCTTACTCCCAGCGATCAGTGGATGGTAACTGGAACCAAGGGGCTGGCAGAAATACCGGCGAAAACCACAGGTCACACAGTTGTGGAACGGTATATTACACGGAGCACAGGCATAGCGATAGCTTGCACGCACAAACACACAATCGGAGTGAGCAGATATCCAGCGTCAGTGACAATAACCACTGTGTGAGTTTTTTTTTCGGAAGGGTTGATGGGCGAGCACAAGTACATGAACAACATATACAACCGTTCATCCACCAACACTGTCAACTAACAAATATACACACAACAACGATTTTTACTTTTTCGCTTATTTTTCAAGTGCGATAGGGTGCCACGTACATAACAGTGAGAATCTAAAACGGGGTGTTTTATAACGGTCCGAGTGAGATACGTGACGAAAACTGGAGAGGCAAAAGAATGAGAACGAAATAGGCACGAGAGTATTTTAGAGAGTGAGAGGGGGGGGAGAGGGGGGAAACTGTTGTAGCGAGTGGTGTATGCATGAGTCTCCCTGGAAGTTGGTTTTTCGAATGGAGTGTATTAGATCTCTGTGAGTGTTGGTAAAGAGAGCCCTCGAGTGGAGGGAGAGAAGGGTGGTTAGGTGGGGCGGAGCTTTGGGATTGAAGGGGACGGCCACCCTCGATTTCTCATAGGGTGGTGGTTGCGATCGATGGCCTGTGCCGAGTCGCTACGCTCAGGGGTAGCTTACAGTGTCGACCAATCGCGGGCCACCGCTCCTTAATTCGAAAGACATAACAGTGTACGAGTCATGCCGAGTGGAGGGAGGTTTGAGGGGAGGGGGGGAATTGAAAGGAGGGGAGAAGGCCGCGGGCCCGTCCCGTGCCACGCCGTGTTACTTATCCATTATAACACTCCAAGATCTTGATTTAAGCCTGCAGCGGCGGTGAGCTTTTAACCAATTAGCCTTTATAGCCCACCACCCCACTGTCCCTATCTCCCTCTTTTTCTCTAGTTTCTTTCTTCGTCTGTATCGCCTCTCACATTCCCCCTCGCGACTATCGTCTCCTCTCTTCTTATCTCTCTCGCACAGACAGCGTTAGATGAACTCTAGGAATTCCCCCCCCCCCCCCCCCGCTACTGCTCATTGCGCAGAGTTGTTTTCTCCCTCGCTCTCTGTCTTTTATACGAACGCGCGATATACCCACCTAATTTAGCAGTTCGTTCTCTTCTCCCGAGGCCACTATGGCTTGTGAGTATACACGTATTTTCCAACGTCCGGGTACTTACGCCCGACCTGTAGCAACGTACTTATCCCTTCTATCTTCACTCACATCCAGCCCTCTCCTTCTCCATTCTCAATACTCACCCCCTCCGCTAGTTTTCCCTCTTTCGTGGAGCCTCTTTACTCCCCGGGAGTGTTATATCGAGTCACTCGCGGGAAGAGTGTGCATGGCCACATTACTGACGTACGCCCACAGAGGACCCGCTCCACTCTCCCCTCCGACGAATTATCTCATTCTTCTCTCTCGTCTCTCATCACTGCGGGGGCGGGAGGGGGACTATTGGGGATGATGGTGGGCCCTGCTCTCTAAGTAGATGCTTACACATGCGGCCGACTAAATAGCCGCAGTGGGAATCCTCCAACCAACCGCGCCTCAATTTTACTGTGGTTTTGGAAGTCGTTGTAGTTGATGTGCATTCAAATTTATTTTCAGAGAGAAGACGCTCTTGTTAGACCCGTCGGAAATATAGATTTTATTATACTGTTCATGAAATATGATTCTCACACTGAGAAAAAAATATATTTTTGCCAAATATCCATTTACTTGAGAGAAATATTTATTTTTTCAATGCCGGATTTCTCCAGCCGAGTCATTCTCAGGCAATCCTCATTCGGTGTCAATTATGACAATAATACTGCTCCAGAAGATGAGCATGTTAATTATGACCTTGAGTGCACTCCCTCAATAATTATCAACATTGAAAAATTAATCGAAATTCTTCCCTCTAGAAAATAAGAAATTTAGGAAAAATGAATAATCATTCGAGTTCATCCAAGGTTAAAGGCAACATAGTCATCCTCTAGAGCAACATGATTGCCATAATTGAAACCTAATCAGACTCGTCTGGGAATGACTCAATAGGAGAAATACGATTTTGAAAAAATAAATGCTTCTCTCAAGTAAACGAATATTTGGCAGAAATAATTTTTGTCATTAGGCCCGATAAACCGCGATCTAACCGAGCGAAGCGAGCATTATCGCCTTCGGCTCGGATTATAAAGCCACATTCGCCAGATAATACTTTTATCGCCTAATGACATAATATACTAATTCAGGCCTAGGACCGAAATAGTACATTTTTTTACATAGCCGTGGGAACTTTTCTACCTCCGGTTCGTCCTGTAACCTCATATTCGCCAGAAAAGTTCCTCACGACCTAGTGTCGAACAATATTTTTTGTCATTGGGCTCGAAAACCGCGATTTAACCAAGCGAAGCGAGGTTGAAATCGCGGTTTATCGGGCCTAGTGACGAAAATTACTATTTTGACTCGCACATGTGATTACCCTAGCAGAAATTTCACGGCGGAAAAACGGCGCGCAACATTCAGTGTTATAGGCATAAGTACTTTTTCACACACCTGCACGGAAAGTTCGTACTTTGCTTCCGCTCATCAGACAGCAAAATACAAACTTTCCTTTGCAGGCGTGTTAAAAAATAGCATGTGCACCTCGGGCGGGAAAACATGACTTTCCGCCCTTGATGCACAATATACTATTCCCATTTTTACCGCATTTCTTATCACAACGTGCGGCAAGTGGGATTTGCGTGAAATTTTACTTTACGCGCAAGTGGTGAAACTATACATTTCGGCCCTAACTCAGCGTTAGAAAAAAGTGAAATTTCATGGACAATCTGGTAGTAGTAGGTTTCATAAATATTACATTGAATTACACGGAGAAAATTATTTGGTGAATTTCACCAAGAAGGTGGTGGAATTCAGCTACTAGTTGTTGAAAAAAATTAATAATCAACCAGTTGTTGAATTTTAACAACTTGTGTGTGAATTTCAACAACCAGTTGGTGAATTTGAAAAAACTAGTTGGTGAAATTTAACAACTACTTGTTGAAATTCACCAATTAGTTGTTGGAAATTTTTTTCAAAATCTAGTTGGTGAATTTGAACAACTGGTGGGTGAACTTCAACAATTAGTTAGTGAATTTCAACAACTAGTCGTTAAAATTCACCAAAGAATTTTCTCCTCGTAGATTTAGCGAAATTAGAATGTCTAGAAAATTCTTCATTTTAGGTAGAGAAGAGTCGGGCAAAATGGGACGTTTCGTGATCTTTTCTACTTGTCAATATTTTCACTTATAAATGAAGGTATTGACAATTGGAAAAGATCGCACGTCCCAGTTTGCCCAACCCTCCCCTAGAATTCAGAAATTCATAGTTTTCATCAATTTTCCAATAATACGATCAGAAAATCTATGAAATACTCGTTGTTTCAATGGCGAGATTCCCTGGCATTTCAATGGAAATGTCATCTGCTGAAAATTTGATTCGATAAATTCAGCCAAAAAATTTTTTAACCGTACTGTTAGAATAACACTCTTGAAATTCCCTGCGGAAAACCTAAATTTATTACAACCAATTGAAATAAATTCTATAGGTTTCGCTGTTGATAAAACAGTTTGTAGAATATTCAATGAAATTTCGATTTTTAGCTCCATACGACAATGAAAATGATTAAACGTCATAAAAATTTAGGCACCTAGTTCAAAACTCAACTGTATTCTATATTTCATCGTCCCAAAAAAATTAAAAAACTGTTCTCGAAATATCTATGCCCGTTTACCATTAAAAAAAATCAATTCTCATGAATTTTCAAAATAAATCGGGGATTTCAAGAACGAGTTGATGTC